CAGGAAGCAAACTGGTACCCCGAGTGTGAGAAGCTGAGGTGCAGGACCTGGTCGGTGTGCTCCTTGAGCGTCTGCACCTCCACACAGGGCACCATGTCGTAGAGCCGCTGGAACTCCTCATACCAGGACGTGGCCGCTGTGGGAGGGGCAGCATCAGTGCCCAGCCCAGCCCTCCCTCCCGTCCAGCCCCCGGAACCAAGGCCCTGGTGCTTCTGGATCCCGCTAGGTACCCATCAGCCTTCCGTTGGGGTCATCCCCTCCCCACCTGCAGGAACCCACAGGTGAGGCAGAGCCTCAGGGTCACAAGCCGGGGCCCCGCTTAGGCTGAGGGGTGAGCGGGGCAGCGGGCCGTGCTGCCCTGTGGCACTGGGCTGGGGTCAGCCCTTGCCTCCTGCGAGGCCAGGGGCTGGGGCCGGGTCAGGCGCACCTGGGTGGCGGGGCACGTCCCGGGCCACCTGGTAGTAGCGGTAAAACTGCTCCCTCCACAGGAACTCGTCGCGGGACACGGCCTGCCACTGGCGGCACACCAGGCCGGCGGCCAGCACGTCGGCGGGGCTCAGGCTCAGGAAGATCTGGTAGATGAGGCTGTCGGGGAGCAGGGGCGAGCCCCCCTCGGCCATCGTGACATTCTGCCCGGGCGGCCCTGAAACCACCAGCGGCCGCTCTGAGCCCCGGGAGGCCCACAGGCCGCGGCTACCCTTCCCGCTGCCCCATGGCAACCCCACCGCGGGCCGGCCGCGGGCTCCCGGACAGCCCGGCCCCGCCGACCCTCGGGCCTCCGAAGGGGGGTCCGGCGTGGGCCTGGCCTCCGCCCCCGCTGGCCGCCCCGCGCCCCGGGAGTCGTCCGGGTCGGGCTCGGGGAGCGCAAGCGGGCGGCGCCGGCGCTGACCTGGCCACCCCAGGGCTCCTGACCACGCTCCAGGGACAGCCTCGCCGGGAAGCGGGGCGGCGCGCCGACTCGCCGGGAGCGCGGGCGCGGGCAGGCCGGTGGCGGCGCGCGGGTCCCGGCCGCGAGGGCGCGGGAGGGCGGGGCGCGGGGCGCGGGCGCGCGGTGCGGGCGCGCGGTGCGGGCGCGCGGTGCGGGGCGCGGGCGCGGGGGTGCGGGGCGCGGGACGCGGGGTGCGGGTGCGGGGCGCGCGGTGCGGGCGCGGGGCGCGGGGTGCGGGGCGCGGGCGCGGGGGTGCGGGCGCGCGGTGCGGGCGCGGGGCGCGGGGTGCGGGGCGCGGGCGCGGGGGTGCGGGGCGCGGGTGCGGGGCGCGGGTGCGGGTGCGGGGCGCGGGGTGCGGGTGCGGGGCGCGGGGCGCGCGGTGCGGGCGCGGGGTGCGGGTGCGGGGCGCGGGGTGCGGGCGCGGGGTGCGGGTGCGGGGCGCGGGGTGCGGGGCGCGGGGGCGCGCGGTGCGGGCGCGGGGTGCGGGGCGCGGGGCGGGGGCGCGGGGTGCGGGGCGGGGGCGCGGGGCGGGGGCGCGGGGTGCGGGGCGGGGGCGCGGGGTGCGGGGCGGGGGTGCGGGGTCCCGGCCGCGGGGCGCGGGGCGCGCGGTGCGGGGCGCGGGGCGGGGGTGCGGGGCGCGGGCGCGCGGTGCGGGGCGGGCGCGGGGTGCGGGGCGCGGGGCGGGGACGGCCGGGGCGGGACGGACCAGGCCGGAGAGGGCGAGAAAAAGCCGCGGCCAGCACGGGCCCCGGCGGCGGGGCGCGGGGCGGGCGACGCGGGACCGGGACTCACCGCGGCGCCTCCGCCCGCTGCGATGCGCCGACCCGCTTCCGCTTCCGCCGCTCCGGCCGCCGCTCCGCGTCTCTATGGTAGAGCCAGGCCGACGCCTCAAGCGCCGAGGCATCGATGACCGCGGGGCGCCGGGCAACCGGCGTCCGCCCAGGCGCTCCCTGCCGGCGCTTCTTTGTGCGCCTGCGCGCGCCGGGGCTCGCGGGAAACAGTGCCCCCTGGCGGCCCCAAGGGGAAGCGGTCATGCACCCGGGCCTGGGGGTGGGGGCAGCAGCAGGTTCGAGACCACCCTCCCCCGATCCTCCCCGTCACCCTCCCCCAGTTCTCCCCGCCCCCCCGCGGCCCCCGCTGTAAGGACCAGCCACCTCCAGGAGAGGTGGGGCCGGGGAAGGCGCCAGGGGACATGGAGTCCTGGAGTCCGAGGTCAACGTGATTCACCTGGGACCTGGTGTCTGTCCCTGCCAAGGCTGGACCCTGGCTCGAGACAGGGCCGGATTTCCGGGGTGGGGTGGGGCTTGCACTGGCCTGGTCAGCACCCTCTGACCTCGCTGCCCTTTGCCTCCGTCAGGCTTCTGTCGTTGACCCGGCTGCCATGCTGCCCCGGTGGGCCTTGCTGGTCTTCGCCGCGCTCCTGCTGGGTGGTGCCCTGGGCTGGAGGGCCAGGAAGCCCCCAGGGCCTGCCCTGGCCATCTCGACCGTCCAGCCCCAGGCCCATTTCCAGGCTCAGCAGGTAGAAGCCGGGGGGGGGGGGGGGGGGGGGGCTGCCCAGCTTTGTAGGGTGGGGTGGGAGCCTCCCCTCCCCTTCCCTTCCTCCCTCTCCCGGTCCTCCCTCCCTGTTCCCAGGATCCTGAGGCCCCCCCCCCCCCCTCCCGCCACAGTTTGCAGGAAAGTGGCTCCTTGTGGCTGTGGGCTCTGCCTGCCGCTCCCTGCAGGAGCAGGGCCACAGAGCTGAGGCCACCGCACTGCACACAGCTCCACAGGGCGCAGCCATGGTCGCCAGCACCTTCCGAAAGCTGTGAGTCCCTGCGTGGCCCTCCTCCCACGCCCCTGCCCACCCCTCCCACCCCCGCCAAAACCCAGGGTGGATGAGCCATGTGGCTCCCCCTGGGTTGGGGTCTCTGAGCCTGGGCACCTCCTTTGCCCCCTGCCCTCCAGGGATGGCATCTGCTGGCAGGTGCGCCAGCTCTACAGAGACACCGGGGTCCCCGGCTGCTTCCTGCTCCCAGGTGAGGTGGGAGCGGCGGGCAGGGGCGGGGCAGAAGGCCAGGCGAGGCGGGAGGGGTGACGTCCTCACCCCCCCTCCCCCCCGCTGTGCCTCAGCCCGGGGGCCCCGGCCGCCCGTGCGCGTGGTCGTCGTCCATACGGACTACCAGGGCTTCGCCATCCTGTTCCTGGAGAGGGCCGGCCGGCTGGCGGTGAAGCTGTATGGTGCGTGTGCTGGGGCTGGGCTCTGCCACAGGCAGCGGGTGTGGAGCGGGACCGGGCGGGTGGACCGTGGGCCGGTCTGCGCCCTCTGCCCAGCGCACTGCGGCCTGCTGAGCCTCTGCCGAGGCTCAGCAGCCTCATCTGCCCACAGCCCGCTCTCTGCCGGTGAGTGCCTCTGCCCTGAATGAGTTTGAGCAGCAGGTGAGGAGGGCCAACCTGACGGAAGACCAGGTCGTGTTCCTCCCCACGTACGGTGAGTGTCCCTGCCCCTCTGCTCTCCGTGACCCAAGCCCGGTCCCCTTCCTCATCACCGCCTGGGTCCCCAGGTTTCTGTGAGGCCGCAGACCAGTTCCACGTGCTGGACGGTGAGTAGCTGGCAGGGAAGGCCGGTGGCCACAAGGAGAGGCTCCCAGCCGCCCCTGCTGAGCCTCCTGTCTGCTGCAGAGGTGAGGCGGTGAGGCTGGAGAAGCTGCCCACGGTGGACCCTGCTGACCCCCTCCGTGACCCCTGCACCCCTGCGCCGGCCAGCCAGGGGACCCACTGTCTGCCCAGGGAGCTCTGTGACCTGGGGCTTCTCAGTAAACCTCAGCCATGGTCCTCCCTGTGTCCTTTCTGTCCATCTGGACAGGTGCTCCCCCTGCTGGTGGGGAGGGGAAGCGAGTGGCCTGGTCCCCTGGCTGCGTGAGGCATCCCTCCCCCTCCCCCTCCCCCTCTCTCCCTCTTCCTCTCCCCCTCCCCTCCCCCTCCCACACTCTCAAACTAGGGTAGAAACGCAACCACCTGGAGGCACCAGGGCCCTGCTTTCTTCCCCAGGCCTCAGTTTCCTTGCTCTGCAGCTCTGTCCTTCTCTGATCCCGCTGGCTGGGTGCCTAGTACTGGAGCCTGTCTGGGCCTCGGCCCGGTGCCCAGGCCTTGTCTGGAGAGGGGCCCCGGCTGTCCCTTGACCCAGCCTGGAGGCTGCGGAGCTGGAGACAGGGCCCAGGGCCCGGTGGCCGGGCGGGCTGTCAGGGAGGCCAGGCCCAGGGAGGCCAGGGAGGCTTTGCCGCTCTGGACACAGTGCCCAGCTGGGCTGTTCTGCGGTGCATCCTGTCGGGAGGAGAACCGACACCTGGGTGGACAGGAACGCGCTGGCCGCTCTCTGTTCTCGAGGCCATTTGCAGAGGCCGGCCCCGAGAGCGGGGAGCACAGGGCCCGGCACTGCTCACGGCCCAGCGGCCGCCTGAGCGGCCAGAGAAGGCCCCGTGCCCGAAGGCCGGCGGAGCTGAGGAGGGGTGTGTGTCCCCTGCTCCCATGACACTGACACACGTTGGCCCGCGCTCCCGCGAGCTCCGGGGAGCCTGCGGGGTGAGGGGCGTGGTCGGGCAGAGGGCAGGCTATGGGTGGGGTGGGGAAGGCAGAGGGTGAACAGCCACCTCTGGACGTCCAGCGAGTGACCGCCCCGCGCAGCCCCCACCGAGCCGCATTGTGGCCATCTCCTCAGGCAGTCCCCAGCCGTGCCTGGGCCCTGGGGGCCGGAGCCAGAGGAGTCGGTGGCCAGGGCTGGGAGCTACCCTGTCATCTAGAAGCCTTGTGGGCCTCCACCGTGCGACCAGCCCCATGACCTTCGTTGCCAGTGGAGTGGGAGACGGGGGGCCCAGGGCAGCTGGCCCTCCTCCTCCTCTAAGGAGAACCAGAGCCTGGGAGGCCCCGCCCCGCCGCCCTCGCCTCCCGCCAGCATGCCAGGGCCTGGCTTCATCAGGGCTCACCCTCCTGGCAGGGACACTTGACCAGCTCTCAGTCGCTTGTCCCTCCCGCCCCTCCCGCCGCTCCGGTGACTGCAGGTCCCGTCCTGCTGGCACCCACACGCTCTGGGCCCTGGGCGCTACCCCGGGGCTGGCAGGCCAGGCTCTGCGGGCAGCAGCCCATGGGCACCGGGAACAACCAGCCATCTTCCGGGGGCGGGATGTCAGTGGCATGAAGGGCCAGGGGAGAGCGGAGGAGGCCGGAGGAGGCAGTGATGGCCCCAGGCTGGCCAGCGGGCCCCGCCCCCCCCCCTGCGGCCCACGCACTCTGAGGGAGCTCGTGGCTGCAAGGAGGAGGAGGAGGAGGAGGAGGAGGAGAAGGAGGGCTCCCAGAGGCCCTGCTCGGCGGCATGCGTCCCCGTCCCTCCCCGTCCCTCGGGGCCACAGCTGCTGGGATGAACCCCCGCGCTGCCCTGTGGCTGCTGCTCGTCCTGCCAACAGCCGTGCAGGGCCAGACGCCCAGCCCCCTGCCCACCTTCACCCCGATGAAGAGCTTCCACCGCGACCAGGTAGCGTCTCCTGGGGGGCGGGGAGGGGGGCTGGCGGCCACCACCAGGGCAGAGGCTCCGGCCCAGCTCTGAACCGGGACCTTCCTACCACCTGGTCGAGCTCCCTGCACCTGTGGGGAGACGGGGCTGGGGCCGCCCGGCCTCCGCCAAGGGCCTGCGGCCTTGCCAGACCCAGGGCAGGCTCTAAGAGCTACGGGGGGGGGGGGGGGGGGGGGGGAGCCTGGACAGCGGCCACCCGGGAGGGGTCAGCCTGGGCTGCCGCCCCGCCCTCACCGGCCCGCAGTTCCAGGGGGAGTGGTTTGTCCTGGGCCTGGCGGGCAGCAACTACAGAAAGGAGGACAAGGCCCTGCTGAAGCCGTACATCACCACCGTCGTGGCGGACGACAAAGGCCAGCTCCAGGTGTCCAGCGCCATGAAGCGGTGAGTGGCCGCGAGCCGCACGGCCGCCGGCCCCGGTGCCAGGGCTGCCCGTGGGCCTGGCACGGGCCTCCGGCGAACAGCCTGTGGGTGCGTGGCAGGGAGCCACCCCTGGATCCCAGGGCACGCCCGGGGGGGATTTCAGCCTTCCTGGGTCCCGGGCTTGGAGCTGGACCCTGCTTCCTGTCCCAGCCTGACATCTTCTCACATCACAGCCTGGCCTCTGCCTGTCTGTCTGTCTGTCTGTCTGTCTGTCTGTCTGTCTGTCTGTCGGTCTGTGTTCTCGGTCACGTGCTCCTCATGAGCCAGTCACTGTGTCCACGGCAGTGGGCACTCTGATGAGCCTGCCTGGAGGAAGTGCCGGCCCTGGATGGGAGGAGGGAGCGGGTTTTGGGTGGACGGCTGGGAGGGTGCTGCCCTCCCCCCAGCCTCCATGGCCTTCCTCGCTCACCTGACTGGCTGGCCTGGGGGGGCCCAGGTGACCTCTGATTCCAAACGACAATCTGCAAAGGGACCGTGGGCCTCCAACCTGTGATGTCAAGAGCCAGGATCATAAGCTCGCAGCACCACACTCCATTGATGGGTTGACATTTGGGTCCCACTATTTTTTTGCCAGGGCTGGCCTCAAACATCAGTCCTCCAGATCTGATTCCAGAGTAGCTGGGATTACAGGTGTGAGCTACAAAGCTCAACCTAGAGTTTGCAGCTTTTCATCATCTCAAAGGAGAAGGCAGGTGCAGATAGCCTTTATCTTTCTCTATTCTTGATAAAGGAAGTGATGGAAGAAGAGTTGGCTGCTCAGGTTTCTCAGCTTTTTCTTCCTCTGTTTCAGTATCTGAGTCTATCTCTCTCTAGTATTTATTATCTTTTATTTCCCTTTCACCTAATCTACCACCCTCTTGCTCACCTAGAGGCAAGTGTGCCGGGAGTGTGGCTCTGGTGGCAGGAAGTGTCAGGCTGGCTCAAGCCCCTGTGCCTCCCCAAAGAACCCCAAAGAGCTAGTCGGCCAGGCACCCGTGGCTCACATCTGTGATCCTAGCTACTCAAGAGGCTCAGGTCTGGAGGATTTCAATCTGAGGGTACAGAAAAGGCCAGAAGACTCATTTCCAAAATAATAAGCAAAACGCCAGGCTGGAGGTGCGGCTCAAGTAGTGGAGTGCCAGCCCGGGAAGCCAGGGAAGTATGAAGCACTGAGTTTAAATCCAGTACTAGAAGAAAAAGAAAAGCAAGCACATTCCTTCTAGAAGCCCCGGCAGTGCTGAGTTCCTTCCCTGGGCCTGGGCGAGGGGCGGGCAGGGTGGCCAGCTGGCCCGCCGTGGCCGCTCCGCTCCCTGGGCTCACCCCAGCGGCCTCGCCGGGAGGGAGGGTGGGCATAGGGCAGGTTTATTAGCCAATGGCGCAGCCCCATGGATCTGGGGCTCTGTGCCAGCCCAAGGAGGACCTGCCCTGGATGGACATGGGCAGGGCTCCTGGAGGGGCCTGTGAGCCCCTGGCTCCCGGTCCTGAGGGCTGGGGACCTTCGGAGGAGCTGCCAGGCAGCCTGGCCAGCCTCCCCCCCCACAGCCCGCTCAGCCCACCGCCCTCCCCCCAGGGGCAAGCGCTGTGACACATGGTCGTACGTAATGATCCCAGCCGAGCAGCCCGGCCAGTTCACCATAGAACACAAAGGTAAGGCGGACGCAGTGGCAGGGCCGGCTGGTGGGCACGCGGGCACGCGGGCCTGGCGGCAACAGCTAGACCCTCATGCCTGTCCGGCCCCTAGGCTCCACGGCCGACCAAGAGGACATGCGGGTGATAGACACCGATTACACCAAGTTTGCCTTGATGCTGTCGCTCAGGCGGACCGGCAGCCGGACTGTCATCCGGGTCAGCCTCCTGGGTGAGCTGCTTCCCCTGCCCTGCCCTCCCCTGCCCTGCTCCTCCCTTGCCCCTTCCCCTGCCCTGCCCTCCCCTGCCCTGCTCCTCCCTTGCCCCTTCCCTGCCCTGGGCACTGCCCCTCCCCTTCCCCTGCCCTCCCCTGCCTTCCTCTGCCCCTGCCCCTCCCCTGCCCCTGCCCCTCCCCTGCCCTGCCCTGGTCCCTGCCCCTCCTCTGCCCTACCCCTGCCCCTCCCCTGCCCTGCCCTGGGCCCTGCCTCTTCCCTGCTCTGCCCCTGCCCTGCCCTGCCCTGCCCTGGGCCCTGCCCCTCCCCTGTTCCTGCCCTGCCCTGCCCTGCCTCTCCCCTGCCCTGCCCCTGCCCCTCCCTTGCCCTGCCCCTCCCCTGTCCCTGCCCTTGCCCCTGTAGGGGCTGAGGCTCCCTGAGCTTGGTGGGGCAGCTCTGGGGCCATAGTCCATCCCCCGTCTGTTGCTCCGGCTGCAGGCAGAAACTGGAACCTGCCTTCCAGGACGCTGGACAGGTTTGCCTGCCTGGCCTTATCCCAGGGCCTCAAGAAGAAAGACTTCATGTTCCCAGACATGACCGGTAAGGGCTTCTGTGGCCTGAGGGCCCTGGACAAGGCCTGTGGGCCCAGGGAGTGGGGTGGGGGTGGGGAGCTGCTCGTGGGCCACGGATGAGGTGCGGATGACTGAGCCCTAGCACCCGACCACGGAGCTCAGCCTGAGCCTAGCTGGAAGGACCAGTAGCTCGGGGTCTCCTCCAGCGCCTCCTTTTCCCTGGAGACCCTCACCCCAGGCCCCTGGCCGAGGCTTCCCCATCCCCACCCCGGGCCCTTGGCTGAGGCTTCCCCATCCCCACCCCACCCAGGCCCCTGGCCGAGGCTTCCCCATCCCCACCCCACCCAGGCCCCTGGCCGAGGCTTCCCCATCCCCACCCAGGCCCCTGGCCGAGGCTTCCCCATCCCCACCCAGGCCCCTGGCCGAGGCTTCCCCATCCCCACCCAGGCCCCTGGCCGAGGCTTCCCCATCCCCACCCAGGCCCCTGGCCGAGGCTTCCCCATCCCCCACCCCACCCAGGCCCCTGGCTGAGGCTTCCCCATCCCCACCCAGGCCCCTGGCCGAGGCTTCCCCATCCCCACCCCACCCCACCCCAGGCCCCTGGCCGAGGCTTCCCCGTCCCCACCCCACCCAGGCCCCTGGCCAAGGCTTCCCCATCCCCACCCCACCCCACCCCGGGCCCCTGGCCGAGGCTTCCCCGTCCCCACCCCGGGCCCCCTGCCCTGGATCACCTCCTTCCTACTCTCTTGACCTGGGATGTGCCCCTCCCCTGCCCTGGTGCCCAACCCACAGGGAACTTGGGTCAGCCCAGGAAGCCCCTGGGCCCCACACAGCCTGGGGTACCTTGAGGAGCCCCTGAGAGGCCAGGGCCAGGGCATCAGGGCTGAGTTCTGTGCCTGTCACTCTCCTACAAGGGCTGGGACCCCCAGAACCCCTCCTCCTTTATACCCGCTGAATCCCTCTCTGCTGCTTTCCCGCCCCGGCCGGCTTCAAACCCTGGTCCTCAGATCTCAGCCTCCTGTAGCTAGGATGACAGGCCTGAGCCACTGGCACCGCACAGCACCTGCACACAGGCTGTCGCGTACACTTGGACACACATTGCACTCGTGCATGGCAGATCTAGAGCTGGAACTCAGGGCCTGGCTCTGTCCCTAAGTTTTGTGCTCAAGGCGATGACTCTACCACTTGAGCCACAGCTGTACCTCTGGTTTTCTGGTGGTTAATTGGAGATAAGATCTCACCACAGACTTTCCTTCCTGGGCTGGCTTTGAACTGTGATCCTTGATCCAGCCTCCTGAGTAGCTAGAATTACAGGTGTGAACCACCAGTGCCTGGCTTTCCTCTTCCTCTTCTTTCTCCTCCTCCTCTTCCTCCTCCTCCTCTTCCTCCTCCTCCTCCTCTTCCTCCTCTTCCTCCTCCTCCTCTTCCTCTTCCTCCTCCTCTTCCTTCTCTTCTTCTTCCTCCTCTTCTTTCCTTCTGATTTTCTTTCTTTCTGTGCCAGTCCTGAGGCTTGAAATCAGGGCTTGTGTGCTAGCCTTGAGCTTTTTTGCTCAAGGCTATTAGTGTTTTGTCATTTGAGCCTCAGCTCCACTTCCAGCTTTTTGGTGAGTTAGAGATAGGAGTCTCACAGACTTTCCTGCCCAGGCTGGCTTTGAACTATGATCCTCAGATCTCAGCCTCCTGAGTAGCTAGGCTGGCAGGCATCGTTGCCAGGGGCTTTCTTTTCCTTCCTGCCCCTCATCCTGCCCTACCTCCAAGCTTCCCCCCCTTCTTGTCCCTCCCAAGCCTCCCCTGGGCTCTGCCTCTTTTGTCCTCCATTCCAACTCTGTCCTCTTCCCACCAGATTGGTTACCGCACCCAGATGGCTGCTGAAGGACACTGCCCAGCCTGGCCTCACCCTCCTGCGCCCTCAGCATGAATAAACACCCTGTGCCTAGGACCCCGAGTGTGACACTAACTTTGGGGTGGCCGAGAGGCCATAACCGAGGGTCCTGCCGGTCCTGCGGGGCCTTGATGGCTCCTCCCCTGAGCACCCCATGCTGGCGTTCCCCCCACTGTGTGAGCTCAAACCGCCTGACTCTGCAGAGCTCAGGGCTGACGCCGCCGTGGAATGCAGCAGCATGCCAGGGCTTGGCAGGCCGGAGAGGCTGGGTCCCAGAGGTGGAGGGCCCCCAGGCTGGCATGGGGGATGGGGCCTGGCTTCCTCCCAGGGAGTATGGGGGTCACGGGCTCCCCCCGCCAGGCTCCAGGAGCATAGGGAAGCTTTTCAGAAATAGCCTTACAGAGTCACGAGCTACACAGAATGAGCTCAGATGCCGTGCCCAGCCCAGCCGAGCCCGGCCCAGTGCATGCGCCTGTGTGCTGGGTGTCTGCACACTGCCCCCGCCGGCCCACTGCAGCAGCCCGCTGCTCGGCCATCCCAAGTCTGTCTTACTGTAGCCCTACCACGCGCCAGGCCGGAGAGGCCACTGGCGGTGTAGAGCCGGCCATGGAAGGGATGCTGCAGTAGCAGACCACGCTCAAGCAGACAGCACGAGGCAGTCCAGCTGGGTCTCGGGGGAGAGTCCTCTACAGGTAGACCCTCCCACTTCCTCGAGGAGACACACGCAGATTCTAGAATGGTGAAAGTCTCCCCAGGGAGATCACGCCGACACGGGTCCCACACACAGGAAAAGGAGTTTAAAGTCAGGAAACCGACAGGCCACCTCGCAGGCTGGGAGAGTTTTACAGGCTGGATGCATGTGGGTCTCAGAGTAGGAATTCCACCATGGCGGAGCTAAGGTTTATGGTCGTAGCTGCACAAACAGGAGTTGCTGTAGTGGGGGGCTGCCTGTCGTTAGCAGTTGCAGCTGCCTGCTTTGAAAAGGGCTGTCAGCTAATTTCAGGGAAGTGCCTGTGTCACCTGATTTCAGGGAAAGGCCATCCTTTACCACAAGGCCTAAGATGGCAGAGTGGCTCCTAAGATGGTGGAGGTTAGGCTGACATTCCTCCCTTTTCTGTTTATTTTTGGTGGGTGTATGGACAAAGGTCTGTCTTCTGTAACTGCTTCCTTCTGGATAGTGGGTGGAGTTACATGGGTGAGGAGCAGTATATTATCCCGGGAACCTTTGACTGACCGTCTGGTTGGTGTAGGCTCTTGCTCTTTCTGTGAGGAAGTTTGTAGACATCTGGAAATGTAAAATTAGAAGTTTGCAATAGTCGTCATTTGGATCTGAGGTGAGAGAGCTACTTGGGAACACAGAAGTAATGTCCATTTTCAAGGTGACTACCTCCTGAAGTACAGGCCTGTTTTTGTTCCAAAGAAAGAGTTACAGGACTACTGTGTCCTGTGGAGGGGCACTGGGCTGAGGAGCGTGCCTGTTTGGAGGTGGGTGTGATCATGTAAAATTGCCAGGCATATGTGTTATGTGTTTGGGGCTCTGCTCGAGTATGGGCCATGAGCTGGAAGGCTCCCAAAAGGCTGAGGGCAAGGAGAAACATTACAAGGAATAGAAAAAAGTAAGGGAATGAATATGAAAGTGAGGGAAGGTGTATATTTCCTCAGGGGTAAAGTCAGATAAATCATCTTGCAAATATAAATCCTGAGCCAAATCTAGGAGATTGAGAAGGGTAAGAGGTCCAGGGTAGAAACGGTATTTGGTCTACAAAATATGGAGAAATTAGCCGGGTACCAGTGGCTCACACCTATAACCCTAGCTACTCAGGAGGCCGAGATCTGAGATCACAGTTCAAAGTCAGCCCAGGCAGGAAAGTCTTGAGACTCTTATCTCCAATAAACCACCAGAAAACCAGAAGTAGTTCTGTGGCTCAAGTGGTAGAGCACTAGCCTTGAGCTGAAGAGCTGAGGGACAGCGCCCAGGCCCAGAGTTCAGGCCCCACTACCGGACCCCCCCAAAAAAAATTTAAAATTGGATGACTTGGCTAGTTCGGTTAGTTCCTATCTCCTGCTTTCCAGGTGGTTCTGGAAGTGGTGGCTCATGTCCCTAGCTACTTCTGACATCTGGCGGCTGGGTAGGGGAGAGCATGGTAAGCTGGTTAAGAATAAGCGTCATGTCATGCCGAGCACTGGTGGCTCACGCCTGTAATCCTAGCTACTCAAGAGGCTGAGATCTGAGAATCAAGGTTGAAAACCAGCCCGGGCAGGAAAGTCCATGAGACTCTATCTCCAATAAACCACTGGAAAACCAGAAGTGGTGCTGTAGCTCAAGTGGTAGAGCGCTCGCCTTGAGCTGAAGAGCACAAGGACAGCACCCAGGCCCAGAGTTCAAACCCCACGACCGACAAAAAAAAAAGAACAAGCGTCAGAACCTGGGGCTGGATTGGAGTGGTTAAGGGCCTGACAGGAGGCCTTGGTAAACGTCTGGATGATAAAATGTATATGGAACACCCAGTATAAGTAGAAATAGCAGGCAATAGACTTAAGTTCCTGCCTAGTTAAAAGATAGACAGGAATGGGGATTAGATAGGCATGCTTATGAACCATTGTTTCCTGGCTCTGGATAATTTTGAAAGAGCAAGCACAAAGTAACTCCATTTAGGATCTGAAACCATCCCCTCTTATCTGTGCAGTGTTTCCCAACTGCCTCTGGGTGGACTAGCTCTGTCCTGGTGGGTCTAGGAGGTCTCCTCTTCTTGCTGGAATGATGGTTTTTGGCACTTTTGCTTGTTGCTGGGATGACATGTCCCAGTTTGTGTTGCTCATTGCTGGGAAGGCATGTCCCACATGGGGGGCAGGGTGACATTAAATGAGGGTCCTTGCCAATGGCCCCTTTCATTTCCAATAGAAGCAACAAGGAGATCAATAGAAATAGTTTTTAAGCAGAGCCTACATGGGCCTTACTAAAAATAACGTTTGAACAATAAATGTTGCAGAGAATACAGTCTGTAATGACAAAACTCGGTAGACATAATGAAAGTTTTAAAATAGCAACTGATTAACCAAATATAGTACTTTAGAATAGTAAAGATTGAAACCATTGTCACCTCTGTACCCAAGGTGGCTTGAAAACAGTAACTGATTAAATAATT